CTTCAAATTGCCGACTCTCCCACCTCAAGAACTTATGCTTTCTGAATTCTTCTTCTTGATTACCATCCAAAACATATTCATACATACATATAACATATGAATTTGGATGTACGCATCTGTTTATACATTTCTAGAATATTGTACGTGTGTGTATGTGTGAAAGGTTATTTATGGATGATGTAACGTGATGGATCTCATCTTGGCTTATGGATGATTATTAGGTGAGATCAACATTAATGGTCATTAATAATTCTCCTCACTAATCTTTTCTTTAAGAATTTCTTTTTTATTCTTTTAAATTAAAATTATGAAATGCCATTTTGGAATATTTTATGACGTTACCATGGTATTTGAATAACTTTATATTCTAACCATATAGAAATGATAAAATACAGAGTAAGAATTTTTATCAGCCAGTTGCTGACTTTCTCAGTTGTATGAGTTGATAAAAGGAAATTTCGAACCAGATTTGTGGAGAAATCATTGACCTTATAAAATGTAATGGTTAGATTTTTTTAAAAACCTATATGATGTTTTTGTCTACCTTGTTCCTTGTCGTCCATTATGACTTATACTATCCTACTCATCTGTCACAATTTTACATTTTGTGAAAAAATATATGGTTTTGAATTTTCTTCTCGAAAGCTCCTACACGGAACATAACCAGCCAAGACATGCGAGTTTATCTTGTCATGTTTTGTCCATGTGAGATAGGGACAATTAAAAGGTAAAAACAGATTGTCTATATCCTTGAAAGTATTTTAACAATTAATCACTCTAAAAATATAACTTTTTTTGAAAACCGATTAGAAGCCATCACAAAGATGTCTGGAACCACTTCAGAAAACAGCTCTTACCAATGGGAAAATACATTTAAAAGGGAAAAAAGTTTCATAACTTTTCCATCAATCCACATTATGTTTTTTTTTTCTTATTTGATTTTTTTTGAAACACTGGAAAGTTTGGTGCCAAAGCCACGGAATTCGTTATCATTGACTAATGAATGGTTGGTAAGTTCTCAAGACTTTGAATCAGTTGTATTTTGATTTGTTGTAACCAACAGTTTCCAAGTTCTTGTCACAATTCTACCGAGTTTCTTTAATATGGTAAAATATGCAATCGAGATTTTTGTTTTATATTGTCAGTATGGTGTTTCCCAAAATCCCAATCTAACAAAAATGAATTCCAAAAAGAATAGCCAAAATCAACTAATTAGTTGATATACAAAACGCAACTGTTCATAAAGTATACATTATATTAATGCATGTGATAGTAACATCACCGAGATCTAAAATAGTATAATATGATTTAACGTATAGTTTGTGCCTTTGTGGTTTAGAGTGAAGAAGAGAAGCGAAGGTCACAATTAAGAAGTTTATTTTCATTTGTAAAAATATTGATGCATTCTTAAACACTTTGACATAAGTAGTGTCGCTGTTTAATTGACTCTTCATAACCTAAAAGGAGGTTTGAGGCACTATAGATGTTTCTTAAGTTAGGTGAAGAGACATGCATGCTAATGCCCATGCCTCTACATTGCTAGAAACCAAAATTAAAATACCAAATCCTCTTCTCCTTAATTTAATTTTTCGGTTGTAAAGTACTACTAGATATGAATAGAGTTGAACATCGGTGGAATTAATTACAATATTATAGTTCCATTTTACATATGTGTCCATGAGTGGGATTTCATTAAGAATGTACCAAAAATATTCGGTATATCTTCAAGCCGTTCTAATCGGTTAGAAATAGGATATGTTAGAAATTTATATTTGGACTTCAAAAAAAAAATATTAATCCAGACAACCTGAATCTGAACATTTTGAATGTTATGATGTTGTTAGGTGCATATAAATTATAACAAATTGATTCTTATTTCTCTTGTAAAATATTTTAGAGTTTTATTTTTAGGAAAACAAACTATGTAGTTTCATTTTCTGTTTATTTTGTATTTACTTTAGGTAGACATCATGATCTAAATAACCAAAAATAACAGTGTGGTTTTTGTACATGTATCTTATCTGAGATTCACGAATTAGTCCGAATAGTTGTAATTCAATAACGACATAAACGATTCAAATCTATTTATTTTAAACTGTTCATATATGAAAATGCAGAGTGTATCAACATACTCTTGGAGTTGAAGAAGGTATGGTCCGTATGGAGATTGAGGCCAGACAGTATAAAAGGACAAGAAATCGAGAATAAAAATTACACAGCTCTAACATCCAATAGTGTGAGGACAACAAGCATTTCTCAGTGACAAAAACATAGTGTGATGACAAAATAGTATACCTTAGATGCTACTTAACAAAAACCCAAAAGAAAGAACTTCTACAATTGGGGAAGAAGACAACATATATATAAGAATTAAGAAGAAATAGGAAACTGCTAGATAGATGAAAGTGAACCTTCAATGATATCATCCAACTAAATATTCGTGATTGGTGAACATGATATGTTTTTCATACAATCCACAAGTTGTGTGTGTGTGTAAGAGAGGGGTAGTTATGTCAAACTGAATCGGTCCTTCCCATTTTAAGCTTACTAGGTGACTTTCCCGTGCTCATGCACGGGTATGAATATTTATCAAGTAAATATATTGTAATATATTCTAATTTATTAATTTAAATAGATATTTAATTTTAATAATAAATTAATTTATAATTTATATGTATAACTTATATTAATAATATTAGATTATTTTAATTAGCCATATGATTTAGTAGATGTTATATTTAATCGGTTAGGTTGCTTTTTTTTGGTCAATAGTCGATTTGGTTACATTTGTGTATTTTAGATTGCATCTATTTTTCTGAATTCAACTATAATATTTTCCTTCTAAATATACTAAAACTTTCATTATTATTGTATTTAGATTGGTTATCGTCTTATATATGTAAATATATTTTAATAAGATTATGTATAACTTACTATAAATTATGCTTATAATGAAATTTAAAATAAACTGAAATTTTGACACAAAAATTATATAAATGAATATAACGATAATATTCTGAAATCTCATTGATATATATATATAAATTTTACAAAAAAAACTGAATTATAACAGTTGGTTAAGAATTATTTTTTTTCTGTATTGATATTTTTGAGTCATTTTGTAATCTATATGTATGAAAATAAATAAATAATTATTCTAAAATTATATGTTCTTATTGTAGTTAGATTCGTTCCATTACTCGTTTTGTGAGTATATTGAGTTATATATATTTTTCTAATTAAATCAAATCAAATTAGTTTTATTTAACGCTTAATGCAAGTATTTTATAAGATTTTTAATAATTTGACATATGTTGATTTTTAAGATATATTAAAAAATAAAGTGACGATCAATAAGAATTTACAATCAATAAATATGAGTATAAAGATAAACATTTGAAATTTCATGGGAACATATCAATATTTACAATAATTAAATATTTATAAATTCTAAATTATTTTATACCTTAGATTTCTTAAAAGGTAAATTGAAACTTTTTAAACAATCTTAAAAATGAGAACTTAGATTTACTTGAGTATTTTGATTATTTATCTATTAAGTTCCATAAACATAAAAAACATAAAATTAAAAAGCAAACTATATATTAAAAATAATTTTTAATAATGATAAAATATTATATTTTCATTTCATTAATAGTGTATAGTGCTACGCTATTTAAAAATTTTTGAAATTATTTGATCAAAATATTTATATGTGTTAGAAAAAAATTATTTTACTTTTTAATATCTCTTAAATAAACACTAAAAATGTTGTTTTATGAAAATTTTGAAAAAATATTTAATTTCGTTTATATATAAACATTTTTATTTCATAAGTATTTCTTTTTTTGTATATGTGTGTTTAAAAAGTAAACATAAATTAAAAAATTAAGTAAAATCTTATTATGAGAAAAGGAAATACATTATTAATATCAATCTTATTTAATATTTTTGTTCATTAAGAGTATCTATGTAATTAACCATCGTGAGAGTTAACGTGAGCGCGACACGTAGGAAACTAACTTTTTAAATAATATTATAGAGATATATTTAAATTAAATATTACTATTTTGTGAACTTTCCTTTTTTATTAAAGCATATTATATATACTTATATTTTCGTTTTTAAATAGTTTTGTTAATATTATAAATGTTTGCTTTTTATTTTATATTATTATTTGGAAATTTTTAAAAGAGAAATAATATTTATTTGTATTTTTAATTCATTAAGGGTATCATAGTAATCAACCAGCGTGAGAGTTAACGTGAGTGCAACACCTAAGCAAGTGACTTCTCAAATAATATTATAGAGATTCCGAGCCATATGTTATTTTGGTTAATTTATGTGGATTTAATCAGTGTTATTTTTTTATATCATAAACTCTTCAAACTTGAGATAGATATTAACTCTCGGTCAAGAAAAATAATCATGTTCTACTATACTGATGATGCCACAACTATGTTTCGTCTTACCACTATTTTCCAAGCATGATAAACAATCAATTTCTACTCACAGCAGACTGTTATTTTCTTTTTTGTACGATAAAATATGCTTATATGTATTTCGTTCTCCTCCTTTGAATAGCACATCTAATTTAGGTGAAGGGTTTTTCATCACTTATATTTTCTCTTTGGGATCACTTTGCTTGGCTTTTACGTTGATACGAAATGTTCATTCGTTAGCTCATAAAATCAAATATTGCATAGGAGTGATCAACTTTATTCAGTGTCTTCCAATGTCTTTTCATAATGCTTACAAGTTACAACGAATGAACTTGACGAAAATAAAGGACCCAAACACTACTAACTCAACTAACAACTAGTACAAAAATCTCTAACATAAATTGTCTCATTCTAAATCTATACGACTGTCTCTTGTTCTTAAAATGATCAATAATTCTTGAGAAATTTCGATTTCGCAGTTTGGTATTTGATCAAATTACACACAAATTGGATTCGGTTCCAATTATAGAACTTTAAACAGCTTCTGAACTTCTAATTTCAGCAGAGTTCATTTCATTTCATGTAAACGAAAACAGAACAATCTTATCACAAACTGCTTTATGATGTTCATATATTCATGAAAAAAACATAAATAAATGGGATAATCTTTAATAATGACACTTTTTTTAGTAGCCACGACGATGGTAAAGCATCTGAAGATCATTGCAATGGTTGCAGGTCCAAGGAAGCAGATAAGGGTCTAAACAATAAGTATGGATCCGCCGGAAATTGCAAATGTGACATCTAATGAGAAGATCCTCTGGCTCACTGTGGTTGCATCTGCCACAAGCTGAAGCTCGAGTCTGAAGCCGCACAAAAAACAACAACAAGCACAAAGTTGCAATCAAGAACAAGAGCACATAGAAACTACAGATTTTGGTTTCTTTATTGAGAGAGATAGAAGGCATTACCAGTGGATTGAAACCTTGTCTTTCTTCTTCTTCAGGGAGTACTACAAGAGAGTTGTTTGTTGAAGATGGGTCAGGGACTGTTTGTGAATATATCTTTTGATCAGAAGATCCTGCGTCTTCTATCTTTGTGATGGTTACGAAACTGGACTTGCACAATGGACATGTTGTCTTCTTTCTTTCGGAAACCTGCAGATAAATATCATAGTTGTATCATGACAAAATCTGTATTTATTTAGGACTTAATTTTAGTATGAAGAAGATAACTCACCAAACGGTCTACCCATTGTTGGATGCATGAATAACAAAACCTGTGGCCACAAGGGAGAATGCCTCTAGTGGAACTGAACCCCGTCCAGCATATGACACAAGAAACCTGCGCAGAGACCATCTTAGTTGCTTCGGTCTCTTCTTCTCTTGAATCCGGTTTGTTGAAGTTTGATTCATCATCTTGCGGTTTTTTCTCTGCACTGATTGATCTCGGGCGTTTAAATACAGTTGAATGATTCCAATTCTCAGACTCCTCTATTTCATCTACATCCCAGTCTTGTGTTGCATAGTCTAGGGGATGTTGAAGAGCTGATGTTTCTCCTTGTTCTAAAACACAATCATCCACATTTTCATCATTAACCGGAGACTTTCTTCGTTTCTCATTAGAATATTCATCATGACAGTAACTATCAGATTCCTCATCAGAGTCAAGGTCAATAAGGTTTCTGGAAGAGCGTGGCTTTACTAACCGCCTCTTTCCTTTCCGTGAAGATTCGGCCACACCAGTGTTTTCTTTGTCTTCAAAAGTATTACTCGAACGCTTTGTTCTTAATCGCACTGAGTGTCTGTTTGCTTCTGTATTTTTCTGAAGAGGAATAACGGAGCTTAGAGATAGCCAAAAAACTTATGCTACCAGACACATAACATTGATGCAAGTAAGAATATTTGCTTCGTGCTAGCTCAAATGCTTATTTCCACAGTGACCACCTATGGCTAACCTTGGCAGTATGCCAGATACAAAAACCAAAACTGATGAGATACGGTACCTATCACACCATTCTTTCAACTCATATAGCAACTATGCAGATAGAATAAGGTATTCTGATCTTTTGGATACATAAAACAACCCAAAAGGATTGTGATATTACTTAAATTCAACAAAAAAGCTAAGCCTATAGGTGCGGAAGAAAAAGAATTAAAAGCTGTATGCTTCCAGATTCAGCCTGCAAGTTGCATCTAAGCAAAAAAACAAATAAGATAACGAGGCTTACCTCTTTCAACAAGACAGAGTCCATCCAAGTAGAAAGCTCAGAAGAACAGCCACTCCTCCTACTCTCTTCACCATTACAAAAGTACTTATCAAAAGTCTCATCAGACTTTTTAACTCTCTTACTGACTTTACCTTCCCCAGAATCCACAGGAAGCTCAACCATCAAAGGCCCAACCTCTTCCCCACTAAAAAAATAAAACCTTTAAGCTTTTATCAATATCAACAAGAAAAACAAACATCAAATAAGCAAAAAAACCTTTCAAACGTATAAGGCGCCTCATTAACACGCCTCCCTTCCCTTACGCAAGCTTCCACCCACTGATGATTGACTACTACCGTACCAAACTTGTTAGCAAGATGATACTTTTTGCCCTCGAATCTCCAACAAACCTATCACACAATAAACCAAAAGTGTTCTATAATCTATATTTACCTAATCTTGTTTTAAAAAAAAAAAGAAAAGAAATTTAGACGAATTTACCAAATGAGTAATGGATCTTGACATAGCACCGACATAACTAGCACCAGAAAGAGAGATAAGCTTGATAAGCTTGAACCTCTCAGAGCCGTGATAGCCACTCACAGTTGCAACCACCTTCTCCATTACCTACACAATAACAACAGAGCAAATCCATAGAGATTCTGTGGAAATTAATAGAGCGGCAACAATAATCACACATGGAGGCGTGACTAATCCCTAATCTTTTGGATATATCGTGTAATAACAATAATCGATGGTGCTTCGATAAAAAAAAAAAAAAACCCTAATTAGAGACCAGATTATAAAAATCCCTAATTTAATTGTTTTTAGCAGAAATTACCTCTAGTTCTGATTGGTACAGAGATGTCTGTCTCTTCCTTCTCTGTTTCCCTCTCCCTCTTCTTCTTCTCAGGTCTGTAAATAACTCAAAAGGAGAAGCCGAAATTTTGATGCGACTCTGGCGGGAATTTCAATTAATTTTGGATTGACGCTGTTTCGATCAGAGTTTTCAGTTTAAAACTCGTATTTGGTCAAAATTATGTCCTTATTTAAAAATAATCTTATCTCTTGCTTTAGTTCATTTGCGAAAATACAAGTTCTTTTTTAAGGATCATTTGCGTGAATACAATTAATTTCCATTACTACATCGTTTGTTTTTGCAAATGATATTATAGGTCATCTATCAAACTGTATTATTTTAATTCATCTATTAATTATCCTTTCAAGTGAGTTAAAACTAGATTGTTAATTAAAAAAAAATGAATTATGTAGAATGATATATGGATAAGTCTCTTAAATAGATATTTTTTTTAGTTTTTATCACATAAACAGACCTCAAAAACTAAAATGACCAAAATAACATTTTGATTTTAAAAATTTTAAGTTTTTTTTATTTTAAAAATTTTAAGTTATTTTTTTATTTTTAAAAAATTAAAATCCTATCTCAAACATTCACTCCTCGATTCTAAATAAAAAAATTAGGATTAGTCAATCCAAAAAGTATAAGTGTATATTTATTTATTTTTAAAGTCATTTTTATTTAATAAAATATTTAAATCTATTTTTATTATTTTTATATTATGATAAAAACTTTTTAAAGTTGATCCTATTAAATTTTTCATGATATATTTCTCACTAATTTATATTTTTACTATTTAGCTTGAATTGAGTAAAATACTCTGTTCCATCAATTCTACAACAATTCAAAAGAGATACAAGTAGGACTTGCCATTTTTGTTGATTCTTCCTTCATTTTACATCTCTGAGTATCACAGTTAAAAGTGGCAAAACTTGTCCAAAACAGTTTTTCCTTACGAATTCAAGTCAAGAAGCTCTCACGAAATCAGATAATACAGTAGCATTAAAAGATAAACACATTCATCTATGATTTTGATAACGAATAAATATTATCCTATTTATACCTATTCCTCTTAATCTACTTTTATTCTACTTATTCATTTTCTTGGTCAGTTTTTGATGTTATTTTCTGGATGTTTTTGTAAAAGTTTCACATAAATCTCAGGAATGATGGGAGCTTTGGTAGTAAGAGTTGTATGTAGTAATGGTTGCTAAGGTTCGTGTTAGGGCTTTAAAATTCTTGAAGAAAATTGCAGAGCTAAATATGAATCTTGAACACAAAAAAAAACTGCACAATAAGGAAAACTTATAAGTGTCATATACAGGCTACAGAAATCTCCTAACTGCTTAAGATTTTGTTTGTAAATAAAAAAACTTTTTCAATCTATACCAAAATTTCTTGTTTATTAATTATAATCCATTTAATACTTCCAGCTTAAATTTCCAGTTCCACCATCAAGTTATTTATCTGAAAGACAGCGTTAATTTATTTATTTATTTAAAACCAAGGAAACGAGGTGTTTTCTGCAAAACATAACACTTTATACAAAGAGTCGTTTACATAGTGGGACACAATATGACTTTGTCTTTCATCTAGAGACACATACACAAGTTGAGACACTTTTTTTGGCAGTTTCTGTGTGTTAATGTCATTGATACCCTTTGGGTGAGTTTGAAAAAAAAAGAAAACCGGTTCAGATTGGTATTTATTTCCTAGAAAACATTATTTTTTTAAACCATTGGATATACAAGGTCACCACTCAATCTGAAATTGAAACTTAAAATCCATCCACAAAATGAACAAACATAATCCATTCACAAGAACCTTATTCTATACCATTGGACTTAAAATCCAGCCATAATGTATCATAAAATCAATCGAGCCATAAAATCAAACAAACGAACAAAACATAAAATCTCTCAACAAATCAATAAAATACAGAACTTCCACCTGCTTCTCCCTGCCACGCTTCACCTAGCCATACTGCCCCCCTCCACGCTTCACCCATCCACAACCCCCTCCATGTTTTATCCATCCACAACCCCCTCCACGCTTCACCAATCCACCCTTCCCCCTTCCATGCTTCACCCGTACACTATAAAATCCAGTACAACTCTTCCATCCACATATTTCCTAACCACAGCCCAACCATCCACGACTTGGACAAAAACAAAAAACGAACCCAAATCAATATTTGAAACTCAGACAGAGAAGGTGTAAGCTTTTGAAGAAATCAAAACTTCACAACGCTAAGCATGTATTATATAAATAGATCCAGACAAAGAAAGTGCAGATTTGGAAGAAACAAACCTTGCATATCTTGAATTCGAAAACGGAGAGGGTGTGATTTGGAAGACATACGGTGTGATTTGGAAGAGAAGAAGGTCAGTGTGATTTGAGAGAGCTGCGATTTAAGAAAATTACTTCCAAAATAATGGAAGAAGAGGCTGGAAATTTAGAGAATGGAAGGAGAGGCTACAATTTGAGAAGTTGTGATTTGAGAGAGGCTCCAATTTAGGGTTCTTAAAAGTCGTCGCAAAAGGGGATTTTTAAAAGGATACGATTTTAGAATCAAAAAATAGAGTTGTGAATTAAAGATAAGAGTTGGTACAATAGTAAACCAAATTTATGATTCCAACCGGTTATGTTTTGTTTACTTTCTATTGTACAAGGACATAGAAGACATTGACTAAGAAAAAAGGTTGTCACATGTGGAAAGTGTCTTGGACTGTAAATTGAAAGACATAAAGTGTCTTGGGAAGTAAAAAATTCTTATACAAATTAATAAAACTACGAGGTTCATTTAGCAATATTTCTTTATTTGTTCTTACTTTAACAGTCTTAAACCCAATAAACAGACCGCCTTTTCGACTCAAACATAAACCTTTTAAGGGCTCTCTCTTAAACCCTTAAACCTACGCCGCCTCCTCCGTCTCCCAAAAACAATTTTGCTCTCAAAATTAATCGCCGTTACACAGTAACCTAATCTCTAGCCTCTTCGACAACAGCTTTCGATGACTATCGACGACAGTTTCAATCTCAAACTCGCGCTTGAAACTTTCTCTGAACGTTGCCCTAAAGTCACAGCCTTTCCATTTTTCAATTCGATTCTCAGCAAGGTCCGTTCTTTGTAATTGTAATTGCTTAACTAAACTGACCCAAAAACAAAGATTCAAGTTTGGTTAAAAAATGTTTTTTTTTTGTATTTTTTTTTGGTAAAAATGTTTTTTTTTTAATGTTGTTTAGGGAGAAGGAGTGGTGGTTAACGAAGAAGTGATTAATGCATTGTCTGATGTGTTTCTTCACCCGGAGCTTACGATTCCTTTGGTTCATTACTTCCTTCCCATTATAAGAAGAGTTGTAGATAGAGTGGTGTGTGTTCTTCATCTAGTGGGTGACCTTAGCTCAAGTAGTGATTACTCAGACGATGTGCTAGTCTACTTGGACAATGCGTTGAAGGAAGGTGTTAGTGTTATTGATTTTTATGTTCGGCGTGGACAAAGGCTGGAGCTTCATGAGTGTGCTTGCTTGGCGTTTAGTCGTGCTCTTCATCTAAACACGTCTTTGCTAGGGTAAGGGGTTGGCTTATATATACATATAGATTTGAAGGAGTAAAGCTAAAGATATCTGTTAGAAGTTTACTTTGATTTAGCTAAAAAAGGCTTTGACTAGTTTACTAAGAGAAGGTTTGATAATTGTGTAGGTCTATTCTGAGTTATTTTAAGAATGCTCCGCCGCCATACGAGCGGATTCTTGCGGAAAAAATCATTTCTGAGGCGCAGATGGAGGTAAACGCTTGTTATCTTTGACATTTCTAGATGTTAGCATCTTATATTCTTTTTTATTCTCTAGTCTTTGGCGGGTTTCATTAGCTTTTGTTTCTCCCTGAATTAGGCTACTACAGCTGCAGAGTTACTTTGTCTTCAAGTATCATATCGTTTTCTGGTTATTAGACCTGAGGTTTTCTCTAAGTTGTGGGATTGGTCCTCTTACATGGAGTCCATGAAAAGGCTATCAGACTGCTCTAGCCAGAGGAGGAATTTTGTGGAAAAGCATAGAGAGGCAGTGTGGTGTGGGATACAAATTCTGTCTGTTGTTTTAAGATGCACTGACAGAATGGCAGGATGTTACGGTTTTGAAGGAGAGAAAGCATTCTCATACTTGTTACGGTAATCCCTTTTAACTGTACTCAAGACTCCTTTATTCAGTCTTCCTCTTAAGTTTGGTTTCTGAAGGTTTATTATCTTCGATGCATTCAGATGGGAAGAATTTTGCCAGGATATAGAAATAGAAAGGGCTGGATCATACATTCAGTTGCCAACGTACAAGGGGTTGAGGTCTTTTCAAGATTTTAGTACCCTTGCACCTGGGATTCAAAAGCAACAATCAGCACGGGTGGACGAAAAGGAGCCATCGATGAAGATCCGAAAGCTGGACACCTGGTTGGTTCACTTTGTGTTTCTTTTCATTAAATTTCTCCTCTTATGTCACGTGTACTCGATGTTAATTTTCTCATTTCGGGTTGCTTCCTCCTTCCTCTTCAATTCAGGGATGTCAAATCTTTCTCTGAATCATTTGAAATTCACTCTAGGGTGAAGAAATCTTTTGAAATGGTCTCATTGGCTGTTAGTCAAAAACGACCTGTTCTTCTGTACGGTCCCTCGGGCTCTGGAAAGTCTGCCCTCATTAGAAAGCTGGCTGATGAGAGTGGTAACCATGGTATGATACATTTTTTAATATCTACGTATACCTATCTCAGCTTTTTGTACTTAAACTAAATTCGAGGAACTTTCTACTATGCTGGAAGAGACAAAACAACCATCTTGAGATATTGCTGTTCACAATAATATATTACATGTTTCCACTTTTAAAATTAAGCACTAAACTACTTTGTTTTTGGTAGTTGTATATATCCACATGGATGATCAACTTGACGGAAAAACGTTGGTTGGTACTTATGTGTGTACTGATCAACCTGGCGAATTTAAATGGCAGCCTGGCTCACTTACCCAGGTTTGTTTCATGGAATTCAGATGTCAGTCTCGCAGTATCCATCCTCTTACATTTGCGTTAACATTTTTTTGTTTTTTCATCTTGGCAGGCTATTATGAATGGTTTTTGGGTGGTTCTTGAGGACATAGACAAAGCTCCATCAGATGTCCCCCTTGTGTTGTCACCTTTACTGGGAGGTTCATGCTCATTTGTGACTAGCAATGGAGAGGTAAAAACTTTCTCTTTGCTGCTCTCTAACTTCTTATGTGGAACACCATTGTACCACATATACTTTTTGAATTACTCTGTTTTAGGTATTCTTGTGTTTTCCTCAAAAATGTATCAAGTTTCAGTGCCTCTTAACTTTTCGCAGGTGATACAGATAGCAGAGAGTTTCCAACTGTTTTCAACCATATCCACACCCGAATGCAGTGTATCACATATCAGGGAAGGTATATCTTCCTGACATTACTTAGTTTGGCAGCTAGCTGTTGCATTCGTTGGCCTGATCTGTGCTAGATCTACCATTGATGTCTGCTATCTTGCTAAAGTAATGTGATCTAGAGATGAATTGCGAATTAGGTTAAAGGGTGTTTTAGTTGGATAATCTTGACGCCTGGAACTTTACGTTGAAGTTTATTACTTGAAGCATAAAGCCAAACATCAAAGGCAGGCTCAACCAACGGCTGTTATAATGATTTGTCATGTTGGCTATTGTTCTTAGTTAAAAAGGCTAATCTACGTATTGATTAATATGGCCTTTCGCTAATAAGCAACCTACCTCGAATTGTTAATTTCCCTTTTCTTTTATTGTTCTCAACAGTAAAGCTTTTATGAGGTCCTGTAGTATTTATCTTATCTCGTAGCTTTAGAGCTTATATGGAATCCTTTACTTTTCTTGCTGCAGTTAAGATTCGTTACACGAACCTTATCATTTGACTGTGTGTTTTTAATGTAGCCGGAAATTCTCTAAGTCCTCTTTGGAGGAGAGTTGTTGTTTATCCTCCAGATCGTGAAAGCTTGCAAAATATTGTGGGTGCTCGGTATCAGAACCTGATACCTATTTCAGAGAAACTTATTGGTAAGTCCCTTCTGCGCATACTCCCCTTGATACGGTTACTGTACATACAGTGAAACATTACTTTTCCATCTTTGCAGAAACTTATGAAAAAGTTAACTCTGCTCTTCGTCCCCAGTGTTTTGCTTCGACAACTGAAAACTCGGCTACATTCAGTTCCCCAAGTAGATTTTCACTGAGGTAAACATATATCCAAGAATTTTATTATTCTTAATAAATTGGTCAACTAATGTTTCTGAATGGTCATCTTTTCCAGAGATTTGCTCAAGTTGTGTGAACGGGTTCAGGGTCTGCCCTCATATGATGGTCATGCAATTTCTCAGGAGGTCAGATTTTTTAAGTTTACTTATGCTAGTCTCTTATTTTAGATTTCATTTATTTAAGTAGGCGTTTTTGTGCTTATTCCCCAGGCATTAGATATATTCTCTGCTTCTTATATGTCAACTCAAAATCGAGTGACTATAAGTAAAATCGTGGCTAGCATTTGGAATGTTCCTGTTCCAGAATCTCAGCATAAGCCCCCAATTCAGGTATCTTAGTGTTCTTGACTGTGTGTTCCCTTGCTGTAGATTGTCTATTAATTTTCCATTGTACTGCAGGAACTTTCTAAAACTCTTAAAATTGGCAGAGTTTCTCTACCGCTTGGTGAAACTGCGGTTAGTTTTTAAACATCTGCCTCCTATTGATACAAATAATAAAATGTCAAAAGACTTATTGGTCTGTTTTTCTCTCCAGTCACATGACCGGTCGAGGTTTGTTGAAACACGCACATCCACACGGTTACTTGAGAAAATAGCCCGCTCTGTTGAGTACAACGAGCCAGTACTCTTAGTAGGAGAAACAGGGACAGGGAAAACTACTCTAGTTCAAAATCTTGCACAGTGGATTGGACAGAAACTCACAGTTTTGGTGTGTGTTTAACGGACATTCTTCTCTATAGTAGTTATTTTATAAAGACGCTCTTCTCTATAGTAATTGTTCATATTTTTGATTATTTTTCTTTTTCAGAACTTGAGCCAGCAAAGTGATATAGTTGATCTATTGGGAGGTTTTAAGCCTATTGATGCAAAGCTTATGTGCAAAATGTTGTACAATGAATTCCTTGAATTGGGAAGAGATTCGAAGCTGAAGGTATTTCAAACTTACTTTCTCTTAGAATTCCTCCTGCATTCGTTTCTAACCAGATATGTTCAGGATGAGTTTAGTATTTTGCTGAGTCCTTTTCGTTTTGGTATCCAGGAAAAATCAGAGATTATGACATGGCTGCGAAAGAACTTTAGAGCTAAGAAGTGGGAAACATTTTTGAGAGGGTTAAAGAAAACTATTGACCATCACGTTAAAAGTGGGGAAGATAAGTCTAGGTCTGGTAGGAAGAGAAAGAAACCGGAAGTGATTGAGAATTGGACTTGTCTGTCCAAAAAAGTGGAGAAGATTCATCAACAGATTTGCTCAGGTGGTATGGTTTTTAAATTTGTCGAAGGGGCATTTGTGACTGCCCTCAGGGAGGGGTATTGGGTTTTACTAGATGAAGTGAACTTAGCCCCACCAGAGATATTGGGCAGGCTTATTGGTGTTCTTGAAGGAGTGAGAGGATCACTTTGTTTAGCTGAGAGAGGGGATGTAATGGGCATTCCTAGACATTCGAATTTCCGTTTGTTTGCCTGTATGAATCCAGCCACGGATGCTGGTAAGCGAGACTTGCCGTTCTCCTTTCGTAGCAGATTTACAGAGTACGCTGTGGATGATGACTTGTGTGACGATGACCTGGAGATATTTGTGAGGCGATTCTTAGGTGGACGTGAATCTGACAATAAGTTAGTAGGCAACATTGTTTGCTTTTACAAAGAAGCTAGAAGGTTGTCTGAAGAATGCTTGCAGGACGGTGCCAATCAGAAGCCACAGTATAGCTTAAGGTCTCTTTACCGTGCGCTAGAGTATGCGATAAAAGCAGAAGGTATTGGCGGATTTCAGAAAGCATTATACGATGGGTTTTCCATGTTTTTCCTCTCCTTATTGGATGCTTCCAGTGCTAAGATCATGAAACCACTCATAGAACTTATCTCAAGGGAAAGTAGCCGAGCCCAACCACTTGAAAGATACTTGGGAGAATTAAAGGGCAGTTCTGATGAATCTACCAAGAAATATGTTAAGACGAAGAGTGTGATTCAACACCTTCATCATCTGGCTCATGCCATTTTTGTCAAAAGATATCCTGTTCTCTTACAAGGACCAACATCCAGTGGAAAAACAAGCCTTGTTAAATATCTTGCAGCGTTAAGTGGAAACAAGTTTGTTCGTATCAATAATCATGAGCAGACTGATATCCAAGAATATTTAGGTTCCTATATGACTGATTCTTCAGGGAAGCTTGTATTTCATGAAGGAGCGTTGGTGAAGGCAGTCAGGGATGGTCATTGGATTGTCTTAGATGAACTAAATTTGGCCCCATCTGACGTCTTAGAGGCACTAAACAGACTGCTTGATGACAATAGGGAGCTTTTTGTGCCCGAGCTGGGTGAAACAATCTCAGCGCATCCTAATTTCATGCTCTTCGCTACACAGAACCCTCCTGCTTTATATGGTGGACGTAAAATACTGTCTCGAGCTTTTCGTAACCGTTTTGTGGAGATTCATGTTGATGATATTCCAGAAGATGAACTGACTGAAATTCTTTTTGAGAAGTGTGAAATTGCAAAAAGTCACGCTACAAAGATTGTTGATGTGATGAAAGACTTGCAGCGCAACAGGCAGAGTAGCAAAGCTTTTGCTGGAAAACATGGATTTATAACTCCAAGAGATCTATTCCGTTGGGCAGATCGTTTTAGGGCTTATGGAGGTAAATCAAATGAAGAACTCGCCAGAGAAGGGTATTACCTCCTTGCAGAAAGGCTGCGTGATGATAGTGAGAAGCTAGTTGTTCAAAAAGTGTTGGAAAGTCATTTCCGGGTCAGTCTTGCAGAAGATGATGTGTACAAAGAGGTAAGTTTTGTTTTCTAGTTTGAAACTTCTTTGCAAACTGTTTTTGTTTATTGAACTCGTTGATGTGGCTGTATCATAACATTAGCTGCTTGTTCTTGATCTTTTGCATTTTTAGAGCCACCAACTTCATTCTGATTATATATGTTTCGAGGAAGCTGCTCTATTACTTAGTTTTGGTTTTTACGTTATTCTGATGTGGATTTGTTCTGTTTTTTTTTGGCCCAGGAGCTTCTAAAGCTGGAACAGCCATTTTCCGCGTAATTGCCTTTCCCCTCAAATTCTATTATTGAATCAATTTGTTTTCGAGCTTGTTTTTATCAGGTCACTCGAGCTGAATTCTATGGTGTTATTTCAATCTTTTATAGGGAAAACAAAACAGTCACCTGGACTCGAAGTATGTGGAGACTATTTTTTCTCATTGAACGTTCTTATAAACTGCGAGAGCCTGTTCTTCTTGTTGGTGAAACTGGGGGAGGAAAAACAACAATCTGCCAACTACTAAGCGAGTATAAGAAGCTAAGGTTGCACATCCTTAATTGTCATCAATACACAGAAACATCTGATTTCCTTGGAGGGTTCTTTCCTGTGAGAGACAGATCGAAACTAGTCATGGAATACGAGAATCAAGTCAAGCAGTTGAAGCTCTCTGAGGGATTGGTACCTTTTAGCCAAGATATTGATCTTTCGGGAGATATTGGTAGAGCTGAAGTGTTGATCAAATCAATAGATGCAATTCTGGAGAAGTACAAAAATGGCTCAGTACAAGGAATGGCGGTCACACCCCTGAATATTGATGTTCTTCAAAACATAAGGAACGATTTGGTGACGCTGTATCAAAAGTGGCGTGCAATTTTTGTGTGGCAAGATGGTCCCCTTGTGGAAGCAATGAGAGCTGGAAATATCTTTCTTGTGGATGAGATATCTTTGGCTGATGATAGTGTTTTAGAAAGACTGAACAGTGTGTTGGAGCCAGGCAGGAAATTGTCGTTAGCTGAGAAAGGTGGTCCCGTCTTGGAGGAAGTTGTAGCTGATGAGAAATTTTTTGTTCTTGCTACCATGAATCCAGGTGGTGATTATGGAAAGAAGGAATTGTCACCTGCACTTCGTAACCGTTTTACTGAGATATGGGTCCCTTCAATTTCAGAGACTGAGGAGCTCAGAAGTATTGCTTCTTCTGTCCTTTGCAACCCAAAGGAATCTAATATCGTAGATCCCATTATCAACTTCTGGGAATGGTTTAACGGGTTGCAGACTGGAAGAACTCTTACTGTCAGAGATCTCCTCTCTTGGGTTACGTTTGTAAATGTGATACAGGAGAGTGTAGGACCATCTTATGCTATTCTTCATGGAGCATTTCTCGTGTTACTTGATGGTCTAAGTCTTGGAACTGGTCTCTCTGGGAGAGATGGTAAAGATCTAAGGGAAAAATGCTTCGCTTTCCTCTTACAACAACTTAAGGTTCTCTATAGTGGTACACTCCCTTTGGATCTTTCAAGAATGGAGCAATATGGCTGGGGTGATGCCAAAGCAATTTGTGAAGAAAGTAAGAGTGTTCTGCATGGAGACATGTTTGGGATCGATCCTTTCTACATAAGTAAAGGTGATGAAACTCCTGAAATGGGTGGATTCGAGTTCTTAGCACCAACCACCTGCAGGAATGTGTTGAGAGTATTGCGTGCAATGCAGCTTTCAAAACCAATATTATTGGAAGGTAGCCCTGGTGTTGGAAAAACAAGTCTAATAATGGCGTTGGGTAAGTATTCTGGCCACAAGGTTGTGCGCATAAATCTTTCAGAGCAGACTGACATGATGGATTTGCTGGGATCGGATTTACCTGTTGAAAGCGATGAGGACATGAAGTTTGCGTGGTCTGATGGAATTCTCTTGCAGGCTCTTAAGGAGGGGTCCTGGGTTTTGTTAGATGAACTAAATCTTGCCCCACAATCCGTTCTAGAGGGATTGAATGCGATTTTGGATCATCGTGCTCAAGTCTTCATCCCAGAACTAGGCTGTACCTTTGAATGCCCCCCGACGTTTAGAGTTTTTGCATGCCAGAATCCTTCTTCTCAAGGTGGTGGCAGGAAAGGTCTTCCCAAGTCTTTCCTTAACCGATTCACAAAGGTGTATGTGGACGAGTTAGTTGAAGATGATTACCTTTTCATATGTCGCTCGCTTTACCCTTCTATTCCCAGTCCATTGCTTTCAAAGCTTATTACACTCAATAGACAGCTACACGATGGTACTATGGTAGATAGAAGATTCGGTCACGATGGCTCACCCTGGGAGTTCAATCTACGTGATGTGATCAGATCATGTCAATTTATGCAAGGTAGTTCCTAAAATCCTTTTGTTTTTTCATATTTGCATTTCCCGGCAACAGTACTTGCTTAGACTAATTTGAGTTATCATGTCGTTTCAGGGGGAAAATATGACTTAGAAGTTGAAAGCTTTCTCAATGTTCTGTATGTTCAAAGAATGCGTACCGCGGCTGATCGGAAAGTAGTTCTCAGTATCTATAAGGCGATTTTTGATAAAACCCCTTCTATAAATCCTTATCCTCGAGTTCAGCTAAATCCTGGATACGTTGTTGTGGGAACTGCTGCTGTTAAACGAAATTTCACCCAGTCTAATATTTCCAGTGAGCAGTTGAAGATTTTGCCTGAAATCCGTCAGAATCTGGAGGCGGTTGCACATTGCGTGCAGAATAAATGGCTGTGCATCCTAGTTGGACCATCGTCATCTGGAAAGACTTCAGTGATCAGAATATTAGCTCAGTTAACAGGATTCCCGCTTAATGAGTTAAATCTTTCATCTGCGACTGATAGCTCTGATCTTCTCGGTTGTTTTGAGCAGTACAATGCATTCCGTAATTTCAGATTAGTGGTCGCCCGAGTTCAGCATCTTGTTGATGAGTATAGCAGTTTGTTATCACAGTCTTCCCAGGAGCCCCTTTTGAGCAAAAGCAAAGGCTTGGTGTCCAGCTGGCTTTCCTTTTTATATAAGATTGATTCATGCCTCTTGGAAAACCCTTCATCCTTCTTGAACGACTCTGACTCCCTCTCCAAATTAACTGTGATTGTAGAATATATGACTAAGGTCTTGGGGGAAGGTGTTTTGCCCGTTAGTTGGTCAAAAAGGAGCCTGGACCAAATCATGAAGACAATAGTGAAGCTGCAATCTGATGAGAAAAAACAATCAACGAAATTTGAATGGGTGACTGGAATGCTGATAAAGGCAATAGAAAATGGAGAGTGGGTTGTTCTTGAGAATGCAAATCTCTGTAATCCCACGGTAATATAATCTCCCTTTATAATATCTTGTTAATAATTTCCCCCGTTAATTAATTGCCATCATTAACTTGAATTTCAGGTACTTGATAGGATCAACTCTTTGGTGGAACCTTGTGGATCAATCACGATAAATGAATGTGGGGTTATTGATGGCGAACCTGTCACCGTTATTCCACACCCTAACTTTCGTTTGTTTCTGACCGTTAATCCCAAGTTTGGGGAGGTGTCAAGAGCAATGCGGAATAGAGGTGTTGAGGTATTTATGATGGGGCCTCATTGGCAGCTCAATGAGGAAGACTCTAACAGTGATGAGCTTGTGCTGAGAGGTGTGAAAAGGTTTCTTGCTCTATCAGGTATTCCGGGTGATAAGCTGGTTGCTTCCATGGCCAAAGCACACGTTCATGCATGGCGCAATGGTCAAACCATTGGAGTACGGATAACGTATCTTGAGCTTGAACAGTGGGTTCACCTCTTCCAACTGTTGCTCATGAATGGTAACCAACTTCTGTGGAGCTTACAGCTAAGTTGGGAGCACATCTATCTCTCTTCCCTTGGAGTAACTGATGGAAAAGATGTTGTTGATCTTGGGCGTGATACTTATTTGTCAGATACTGAATCATTTATGGGTGGGAATATGTGCCTGTCTGGTGGATGGCCAAAGCCTTTCAATTTGAGAGACTTGATGTGGTACTCGAGAGAAACAACTGTCAGGCAGAATTGCATGTATCTGGAGTTTCTAGGAGCTCAATACGCATCATATCAGTCTGAAGTAAGCTACAATTTCAAGTTGAGGGATAGGGATTTGGCTGCTGGGGAACGGAGAATAGTCTATACTGCCGATTCCTGGACGCTAAATAAAATCTTGTTTCCTAAAGCCTTAATTGGGTCAACTCGTGCGGCTGATACAGCTAAAATTGACCATGATTTGGCTTCAAAGAAGCTATTGTATGCTGCCAACTGGACAATGGAACAGGCAACCGAAGAGGATATTCAACTCTATCTGGTGTGGATTAGTTGGTTTGGTTCCAGACTGCAACAATACTGTCCCTTCTTCCTGTGTTTTCTCAATATGTTGAAAGATGAGTTGCAGCATCCAATCTGGAGTCATATATCCAGAAGTCGAGAAAACCTGAAATCCCTCTGCAAAGTGGATCCAGATGTTGTTCCAATCGCGATGATGTCCTCGAAGTTGATTGATATAGCAGCATCGAATGAACAGTTAAAACCCCTGAGTAAAACCCTCTTTGAGTCTCTTAGCTCCGTTGGTGTTCTTCGGCTTTCCTATCAGCAGTGGCTTGCAGAAAATAACTACAACCACACCGATGTATCCTCTTTTACTCGCTTTCTGGATTCCCTTCGCGCATTGGAGAAGAAAATTCTTTGCGAAATTGTTGGATCACCTTCTTTCACTGTGTTGATTCAGATGTACACTGAAGTTATTGAAAAACATTCATTTTTCTGGTCTGATTTGGTCTCGTCTTCAGATGAGTGTAAATTGTTTTCCTTTTGGTCTCTAATAAAGGCTGTCAAAAAGTTGGGCAGTTTATTTCCTGAAGAAGTTCATGTGGTTTTGGTAAGCAAATCATTAAGTTATCCATTAGCTTTGTCTTCGATGTATTATAATGGTTGCTCAATAATTTCGGATGTTTTCTGTAGGAGGAAAGCAGAAATATTAACAATATAGCTTTGCATGGTGAGCCAGAAAAGTCTTTACTATGGGCGTATGGGGGACATCCTTCCTTGCCGGTTTGTGAAGAGTTGTACCTTAAGCAGCAGAAGTTTCTACAGATCTGCAGCACAATTTGGCCATTAAAATCAGATGGACAAGGTTGGATATCTGAAGTGTTCAATACTACACCTTTGATGGTTCTGTTAAAGAAATTAAACTCTCTTTTTGTTTGGGGTTGGCAGGAAATGATCATCTTACCAAAGCCATTGCATTTTCTGGCCCTGAGTTATCTTTGCTTGCCTTGGAAGGTAATATTTTATAATTGATATTTACTCATCCATGTTTCAATTTACTTGTACAAATACAAGTAGAATGTAGTGTTCAAGAAACATTGCTGGGCGCTATCTATAATTTTGTCTTCATGCATGCGATAATTGATTGTTGTGGCTTAACGTAGAATATGAACCCGAGTCATCTACTGTATAGAATATTCAGTAAGAATAATTTTGCAAAGGCCACTTCTGTGATCAACCTAGCTTATTTTTTTTAAGGGAAACGTAGGCTGAAAAGTAACCTACTCCTTCAGTCGAGAGTATTGTAGCTGTGATTAACGCTCTTGTATTTTCCTGTTTTGTTTCATCCAAATATACAGGTCTTTGCATTTCATCTTACATTGCCGACAAGGATGATGCAGCTGCTGTTCAGCTGGATGAAATTAACCAGGTTTGTTTTCTTTATTACCATGTGTATTCAGATGTCTCTATCTCCTCTCACAATTGACCATCGTCACCAGATGTTTATGGAGAGGATGGAACTAGAGAAGAAGAGACTGCAGGATATAATGGTTTTCAGTGAGAATGATAATATTGAAAGTAAATCTGCTGCGTGCTGTATTTTCCGTCCAGAGATTGTGGCTACAGGGTTTGGCTTTAGCAGTTGGATGGATATATGCTCTATTACTAGAAGTGAAAGTAGTTCGTTAGATGTAGAGTTACTTGCTGTACTTCAGCAACTCTTGGTGGCACAATCTACTGAACATAAGGTTAGTGAATAATGTCCATGTGGTACACTACTCTTTTTAAATCCCTGGAACCTATTTACTTCTCCAAAACTTACTTTCCTGAATTGCAGGATCTTTTGGATGTTCGAAATCTGCTTAAACCTGCTCTAGAGTATTCCTTGTCTTCAACAAGACCTCCACAGACTCTTGTAGCTCATCAAAAACTACTGTGGGCAATTGATGCCCGTGCCTCTGTCCTCCGAGGTAAATAAAGTTGGATATTCACTTACTTTTGTCTACTAAAGTAATCTGGTTGCTTATATTTGCTTTTGTTGCAGTGGACACCAAAATTGCTGGTTTTGTTCTCGAAATGTGGTACTGGTGGCATTCTGTTTTGTGGAAAAATTGCCAAATCGGTCTCATGGTAAACAAAATTAAATAACTTTTGTTCAGTCGTTATTTAGATTGCGCAGTATGTAACATATTTCTTTCATCTCATTCATGTTCACGGGGTCTACAGAGTATCTCAGAGGTCGGTAACTGTCAGGTTATGTCGCCTTCTATGCTGATTCAGCCTGTGAAAGCAGCTACAATTGATCATATTCTGTAAGTGATCAAGCTAACTAACATGTTCCACTACTTTGAATGATGTATACCTAACATTCATTTGCGAATATTGTTGATGCATTGTTCTTGTTGTATGAAAGGTTTTTTTTTTAATGTTTGTGCAGCGATAATGCTTTTGCTGCTAAGGACTATCCTGTTCAATCGATGAAGTTTCTTTCTGCTTCACGAGTCCTATGGAAAAGCTCACAATCCTATCAAGAGATGCCTGGTTCTTTACTGTCAATAGCGCGTTCCCTTTTCCAACAGGTTTGGAGTCGTGATACGCTTTAATAGTTCATCTGTCTCTTTTCGCACTGATTTTGATCATGTTTTTTACCTCTTTAGATGGTGTATACGCACAGAAAGTCATATGAGCCTGAAGTGTTTGCCGATATTAAGTCTGCATTTCATGCGGTTGAGAAGAAACAGAACGAGGTATGATTCCTAAAATTGTATTGTGTTCATTCTTCCTTTCTTCTTTCCTGTAAAGCATATAGGAATCTTCTTAAAAGTTTAATATCTTTGTGGAATAGCTACACCTCCAAGTTTATGCGTCTCTTTTTGTTTATGCAGATGGAACGCATTAAGTCTCTCATTTCACTGATCAGCTTATCAAGCCATCAGAAATTGAAATCTGCTACTCGCTCATTTGTCGAACCATTGGCGAAACATCTTTATTCGGAGTGCCCATCAAATGGTACTGTATATAGTTTATATATATATAAGCTGTAACAACTTTAGCCTCTGCAAGGTAAACCGTCTTAGACGTGTGTAATTGTTCTTACAGTTTCGTTTCCTAACTTTTGTAGAGTTCTACTCCAATCTTGGTCTGGCATGGATTTATCTTGGAGGACTGCGCTTCAATCTTTTGAATAGCTTGGATGTTATTGATCCAGCCATGAAGATCTCTTGTAAGCTGGCAGAAGTACAAGAAAAAATTTCAACTCTGAAGCTAAACATAGAGGTGCTTGCTCTTTGCATTGTTTAGGTCACAACAGCAGTTACATAATTGTTTTTATTGACCTATATCAATGCGTTAACAGGTCCGGGAAGAATGTGAGTATCTGTCTGGATTGCTTTACACTGGAGACAATGACGAAAGAACTGAATGTAGATTATCTAAGCTCAAAGCTGAGCGGAAAAAGTTGCGAAGAAAGGTATGTAACATCCGCTGTAGCATTCCCCTCCCATTTGCTTCGTGATTTTTATATGACCTATCCCACCTCCCGACTGTTCACTTGTATCTTTTGTTTTCCTTCTGAAACAGGTTATTTTTCGCTCTGATCCTAATAAGTACCAGAATTTAAGAAGAGCGCTGGATGAGTTTGCGGGATTTCTCACACGTCCAATAACTCTGGTTAAGGACATTAACAAGCTTGACTGGAACCAGGTTGTTGAGCAAGTTTTCAACTGGCAGGAGACGGCAACATCGTTTATTGATCGGCTGTCCAGTGACTATTCCGAATATGTTGATATAACTCAGCCAATACAAGTTTCGATATACGAGATGAAATTGGGTTTATCACTCTTTGTCTCTGGTGCTCTCTTGGGAAAAATTCTCAATAGATTTGACATAGACACGGTTGACTCAGTCATGGTACTTAACCTTTTGTTTATCAAATTTTTTTGTACATGTCATTTCGTGTACAAATAATAATGAGTTATGGTCCTTGCAGGAAACAATCTATTCCTTGATGAGATTTCCAAGGGGCTCCTCCTTCCCTTCAGCTACCTACATTGATAGCTTGCCACCGCTGCACCTTTCTCATGATGCAGATTCTCGTGCTAAGTCCTTAGGTTTGGATGTTGGCTTGCTGCATAAACTGATCTCTGTTTCAAGTGCAGACGATACGAGAAAAGTAATGTTTCTTATGATTTCTTGAATTTATATTATGATTTTCTTTCACATAATGAAAAGGATTATCAGACTTTGAAAGTTGCTTATGTATTTACTATGTTCTATTTGATTACGTAGGTCTCCGAGTTGCAACTCAAAACTGCTCTATATAAAAATATGCATGCTCGTGTTTCGCACTTTGTTGCAAACACTGGGCTAATGGATAAAGCTTCTTTTGAGGTAAAATATTTGCCAGTTATATGCATGTGAATACGGAAATCTGTTATCTAACGTTCTAATAACTCCATCTGCAGATATTGGAGAGCATATATTTTGAATTGGCGAGAAATTGGATGGAGATGAAGTTTCAAGTAAGAACAAAGGCTGACGCTGTTTCTGGGCTGTACAAATTCCGTTCCCGTGACTTCAAAATTGAGAGTGTCATGAAAGTAGATATATCTGCCTTTGGCAAGTACTTCCCAGAGGATAATTTTTGGCAAGAGTATCTGGCTGATGATGATGATGATGTGGTAAACCATTCGTTCTAATGCATTACTGGAACTTGTAAATTCTCTTGTTTATCACTTCTGATTTTTCTTTTGTTCTCCACAGACGCAAACTGACCAGGGTGACGAAAATTTGGAGGATGAATGGGACTTGATACAGGAGCATGTGGATAACATATATAGCACACATAATGAGTTATTTGGTTTCTGTGACCTCTCTGAAAAGGTATTGCCAACAAGCTTTGCTATTTTAAATCTTCAATGGTTGCATTAGTACTAGTCGCAATTCCTTTGTAACTAACAATACAATATATATTATATTCAGACTGGAAGATGTCTTGCTGATAGTAGAAGGCTGGATTCATTCACTGATTCCTATGAACTTGGAGTCAATATGATCAAAGGTGACCATCAGACACCATTTCTCTCTGTTGTTTGTTTAATGTGGCCGATTCATTATACTAAATAAATTACTGGATTATCTCTTGATTCCGACAGGGCTGAAGGGTCTATTTACATCAAGCTTGGATGCAAAACTTGTTCCAGAACACCTGCTTCGTCTTTGCGTGGAATACAAAAAAACGTTCACTTCATACGGTCATTCTGCTAGTAAATACAACTTCTACAAGGTCTGCTAGCTTTTTACTTGCTAAAGAAGTTCGCTTATTTATGTTACTTCCGCCTAGGTTCTGATAGTATCTCTTATAGGACTTTGATGGTCCTCAGCTGGGGAAAATGGTCAAGCTTCTTACTCCTCTTCAGTCGAGAATTTATTCTTTATTGCAAGAACAAGAGGACCATCCTGGTCTTCAGAAACTTTCTGATATCCTTCGAATGCTCATGGATACTCCTTCAAGGACTCCGCTGGCAAAGGTATGCATATACTCAAATTGGTAGCTTATACCGCCTTCCCTTTTTGATGTTTTAATGATTCATAATAATCTTTACTTTCCTGTTTGCTATTGTTTGCGAAGGCTCTTCCAGGATTGCAATTTCTGATTTGCAAGGTCCAGACGTTACAGGAAGAGGGATGTAAATTGCCCATCTCTGGTATGGATTTTAATCGTTTCTCTCTCTCTCTCTAGTTATACTTTTTGGTTCTTCCATTATTTACTCTATTTATCGAGTGTCATATTGTGTTTTCGTGTCCTATAGATCTTTTGGAGCCAATTATTTCCCTCGCAAGCTCTTGGCAGAGGTTAGAATTTGAATGCTGGCCTACATTGCTTGATGAGGTTCAAGATCAGTATGAACTTAGCGCAAGAAAGGTACGACTAGTTAGAAAATTTTGTAGTCATGAACACACTGTTAAGGTAACAATTATTTTTTCTCGTTGCAGTTGTGGCTTCCTTTGTTTTCAGTTCTCTTCCAGAAGGATTGTGTTGAATTTTCAGAACATGAAAATGAGTCTATTTCACAAAGGTGTGCACGGAATGAATATTGTGGTGCTTACATATGTATTCTTGCAAATTCGGTCATCTAATAGATCTTTTATCGCAGTTTGGTGGAGTTCATTGAAACGTCAAATATTGGTGAATTTAGGAGACGTCTTGAGCTTCTCCTTTGCTTCCTTCTTCATTTAAGTATGGGTAGCTCGTTGGGAATATATTCAAGGTTAGCTGCGTATGATATATCTCCTACTTTTTACCTTTTTCGTCCGTTTCAATCTTGAAGGATTTAAGTGGGTTTCAGCGTATTTTTCTTCCGTCGTTACTTTTGGTTGCCTTGACTCATACTTTTTCTTTAACAGTGATTCACACAAGAGGAAGGTTGAAATTTGCTACAATATTTTTGGATTCTATATTCAGTTTCTACCAGTGTAAGCTCCTTTATAGTTTTGTCTTGAGTTTTATCAGTTCAAAATTGTTTGGTCAGGACAATGTTCTTAATTCAAATTTGTCTATCAGGGTTATGGAGCAGTTAGATTTGAATAGGAAAACTATTGAAGCTAAGTTAAAGGACCATCTAAAACTTTGTCGGTGGGAGAGGCCAGATAATCATCTGCTCCTTAGGACCACTAAAAATACCAGGCAAAAGGTCAAGAAGCTGATACAGGATTTTTCTGTAAGTAATTGGTGACTCTTCGTTTTTTCATTTTCTAGGGTTTATTATATAGAGAATTTTTGCTTTCTGTGAGTTACAGTTGCGGAGCCTTATTAAAGAGATTTTATATGGCTTATTGTTTCTGAACAGGTCATTCTTCAGCGCCCTGTAATGCTTGATAGGCCAAACGTAGCAAAGGAAAGAGTACAATATCTTCCTCTACTAGGTGCAGATATAATGAATGGAGCGTCCAACATGAGGATTGAGGTTCTAGTTAGTAATTTAGATGCAGAACAATCGAATGACAGGTATACATATCTACCCTGTGACCTTCTACATTACTAGAAGTGTACAGAAGCTGAGTCCTCCATTATCTAAATTCTTCGTGGTAGGTTTTCCTGGTATGCTGTTTGGAGGAATAAATTAAAAGAGTCGGTAGGTCGCTTCCACCAAGAAGTGCATTTTAAAGAATTGCTGACGGGTGAAGGTTTGTTAGACACTTGCTCCATTCACTCTGGTTTCTACATGATCGATTTTTGCTTTTTCTTTTGCGGAGTCTGCAAATTCTTAAAATTGCATGATATCTTTGCAGATCATCAGTATCCTGTCTATCAGGGTGATTGGAAAATTTTGTGGAGTACAGTTTCTAAGATTGGTGAGAAGATAGCTAGCTGTTCAGATCTATGGAGAAATAGTGATAGAGATGTTGCAAAAAAGAGGGCCTTGCCTGATCTTCTCAAGTCATTGGAAAAATGTGGTTTGCAGAAACACAAGTTTGAAAATGTAGAGGTAAGAAACTTATGTTTGTTACCTCTGTTTATGTACTTCCTAGACATATCTTCTTAATGATTAACTAATTATGATGATCTTCTTTTTCAGATGTCAAATCACTTTAAAGGGTTGCTTTACCAGCCAGCATACGATCCAAATCATCTTTTGCTGCTAACAAATGCTAAAAGTAGCATACAGGCTTCGGTTGAAGATCAAAACAAGGAAAGTTCACTGGCTGAGTGGAGAGCTGCAAATGAATTTTACTTTAAGAGCTTGGCTTCTGTGCAACTCATGTTAAATATTGAAGGAAAACACTCAGATATTACAGCCGAGCAGGTAGGCTTTCCAAACTTGTAATTTATACCCGAGCTTCTCTGAAACCCATTTTAACCAGCTGTATTGCCCTCACACTAAATTTCGTATGTTAACAGGTCAAGCGCTCAATATCATTTCTCAACCATCTTGTGGAAATACAACGGCAGCAAAGGAAAACTGCTTACGGTTTTGCTGAACTTCTAAACTGCTTTCGCCATCGTGTTTTACCCTTAGCAAAATTACTGGGAGATTCAGTTGAGGAGGACAGAAAGGATGATTCTTTGTTGAGTTTTCCCCAAAATCAACATGCTGTATTCAATTCCATGTGGCTACAAAAGGTATTGCATCTTCTCTAACTTGAATGATGTGCGCTGAACCTCTGTTGCAACAACACTTGGTTAATTTGTTACTTTTCGTGATATGGCAGCAACTATTTGATAACATTAGTGCAATGCTTCTGGAGGAATTGGTGTTACTGAGAACAGTTGGAAGTACACACTTGGACTCCTGTCAAACTGTTAAAACTTCATCACATAGTTTGCTCAGCTTAATAGAAAAGCTAATTCCCATCGCTCAAAATTCTAAGGTGCCGAATCCTCGGGCTTCTTTTGAATCTCTCTTGTCTGTTATTTCTTGCAATAGTCTGAAGATTTTTTTTTTAATATCAGGCTTCACTGGATAGGCTTCTACTTGATTCCAACGGTTTGATCATTACGCCAAGTAGCTGTCTTAATCAGTTTGTCACACAGCATACGGTTAAGCTGCTATGCCACAACTCTGATCAGCTTACGGACATTGAAAATCAAATTTCGGCTTTCTGTGAAGACAATGAGAAAACCTATGCTACAAACGTTCTTCTTAGTCATTTTTCTCCCTTCTTTAAAGAGGTATCCTATCTTTGTTCAATATTTGTGGATTCTAGCCTAGCATATAGATTGTGTTTAGAGTTCTAGAGTCGGATTTAAGAAATGAATTTAATGCAGGGGAAATTGTTGGCTGAAAATCTGAACTGTTTACTTAAAACGGGAGACCAATCAACTGGCATGGAACCCAAGGAAAAAGCTGCTTTTGAAGCAAATGTGGCAAATGCATTTGCAAATGTTAAGGCTGTGATTGGAAAGCTTTGCTCTTATAAAGACGGATGTGATTCTCAAGAAGAGGAAGGGAATATTCTTATGTGGGATGGTCTGTTTAAGAAGGCAGAAAATGACCTGAACCTTGATAACCTATGCAAACTGCTGTCAGAAACAACTGGTTCCATTGTAAGTCAGATTATTTTTGAACTGCGGGATGCTACTTTTCTTTCTTTATTTTTCTTCAAACCTGAATTTAACTGAGGCTGTTATTTTCGCAGGAACAACTATTAAACTCTTCGGGCGTCCTTTCAGCTTGTGTTGGAGACCAGTTGAAGCAACTTCAAGCATTTTTGGATCTTTTATTGAGCTTTGGTGATTCTTACCTCCAAGAGTTTTTGGCGATAAGTAAAAGGGTATGTTTATATCTTTTGCTGTTCTTTCGTGGGGACAATGGTTGTACTCATCTGGGCTATAGCGTTATCCTATTAATTCAATATTTTGTTACGTTGTGAACTTTTGTGTTTGTAGGTGTCATTGATAACCCATGTCCTTGCAACTGTTCTGGTCGATCTATTTACAAAAGGGTTTGGCATCTCCAAAAACGATGAAGATGATGACTCTAAAGATGAAAAATCAGAAACTGCAGAAGGTACTGGAATGGGAGATGGTGTGGGAGCAAAAGATGTAAGTGACCAAATAGAAGATGAAGATCAACTGCGTGGCACAGACAAGAAGGTAATATCGTTTTTTCCTTTTTGCCACCCTTTCCGGAATTTTGCTGGAAATTTTCACCATTTAAAATTTGTTTCCGTTGTCTCTGCAGGAAGAAGAAGAGAAAGAGCAAGATACTCCGGACGATGTGCAGGATAAGAATAAAGGCATTGAGATGACCGACGAATTTGAGGGCAAAGAGTATAGTCTTAGTGAAGATTCGGAAGAAGAAGACAAGGAGGACGAGGAAAGCGAGGATGAGCAGTTGGACTCTAAAATGGGAGATGCGGGTTCTGATGCTGAAAAAGCTGATGAAAAGCCGTGGGACAAAGATGAAGAGGATGAGGCAGGAGATAAGAATGAGAAGAATGAATCCGGACCATCTGTTACTGACAAGGACACAAGTTCAAGGGAGCTACGAGCCAAGGATGATGATGATGTTGACACTGCTGATGATCCTGAGGAGTCCAATACTTCAGACAAACCGGAAGAAGGAAACGATGAGAATGTGGATCCAGATAATGTTGGTGACCCAGAAAATTTAGAAGATGAAATCAAGAACCAAGAAGCACTTACAGATACATCTGGACCAACTCCTGAGTTGGGCAATGAACAGACTGACGATGCCATGGAGATTGACGAAACAGATGAGGTCGAAAAGGAAGATGAGCAGGAAGAACCATGTCCAGAAGATCAAAAGCATCCTGAAGAAGGTGAAAATGATCAAGAGACGCAAGAACCTGCTGAGGAGACAATGGAGGCTGGGACTGAAGATGTGTCTGAACCCCAAACAGAAGATCCTGGAAATGATCCTGAAGAGAAATCTGAAACGGAACCAATAGAAGGAAAAGAAGTCATGTCAGAAGACATGAAGCCGAACGTCAGTGATGATAATATCTCTGGTGTGGACGCTGGTTCACACAATCCTCAAGGCTCTAACGGATTGGGTGCAGGAAGTACAGCGCCACAAGAAAGTTTGGCAGCTACTAATGTTACGGATGAACTCACAATGGATCAGTCTTCGGGTAGTAACACTGAGATGAACCTCACGATGACTAACATGGCCAGTGGTGAGACGTTGACAGACAACATACCAAAGATGGAATTTCCTCAGAGCCAGTCATCTACATCTCAACAAACCAAGGTGAATCCTTATAGGAACGTTGGTGATGCATTGAAGGAGTGGAAAGAAAAAGTTAAGGTCTCCTCAGACCTTGTAGAAAAGCAAGAAGCTGAAACTGAGATGGAAGACCCTGATGCTGGTGAATATGGATTTACTTCTCAGTTTGATGAAGGAACTTCCCAAGCTCTAGGACCTGCATTGCCTGAGCAAGTGAACACAGATATGAGAGAGGGGGAATCTGAGGACGAAAAACTCGCGGGTAATCAAGATGAAGCCTCCCCGATGGATATTGATGATGTGAACCCCGAAAACAAACCTGCTGTTCAGTCCAAACCGTCGTCTATCAGAGATAGGGCCGTTGAACCGGTCCAAGAACCAGATACAGACAGGACCCTCCAAGAGAACTCTCCTATCCAGAATGTTGGTGATGGTGACAGCAGGATGGACTCTATGGTCTCTGTTGACAATACGTTCTTGGGGGAAGATGCGTTTAATCCTGACTGGATGCAGGTGGCCGATAAGGACACGGAGAACAATCAGGATAATGAAGAAGATCCTGATGCCAGAAGTAATGCAGTTATTCTTTGGAGGAGATGTGAGTTGCTTACTACGAAACCCTCTCAGGAGCTGGCTGAGCAGTTGCGTCTTATCTTGGAACCCACACTTGCTAGCAAACTCAGTGGCGACTACAGAACAGGTAAAAGGATCAACATGAAAAAGGTTATTCCGTACATAGCGAGTCACTATCGAAAAGATAAAATCTGGTTGAGAAGGACAAAGCCAAACAAGCGTGACTACCAAGTCGTTATTGCTGTGGATGATTCACGCAGTATGTCAGAAAGTGGATGCGGCGATTTTGCTATTAGGGCTTTGGCAACGGTGTGCCGAGCAATGTCACAGCTTGAGATGGGAAGTTTGGCGGTTGCAAGTTTCGGAAAGAAAGGAAGCATAAAGATGTTGCATGAGTTTGGAGAGTCATTCACCACAGAGTCTGGTATCAAGATGATCTCAGGGTTAACGTTTAAACAAGAAAATCTCATAGAAGATGAACCAATCTTCAATCTGCTGAGAAACATGAATGAGATGCTTGAGAACCTAGCCAGCACAAGACGACAGTCTTCCGGTAGCAACCCGCTTCAACAACTTGTTCTAGTCATCGGTGATGGCAAGTTCCACGAGCGAGAGAAGTTGAAGCGATCTGTGAGGAAGTTCCTCCAGCAGAAACGTATGGTGGTCTATCTACTTCTCGATAACGCTGAACAGTCTGTTCTTGATCTGAAGGTATGTTCAGTTCTTTCCTTTCTATGGCTTAAGTATGATAATGAAACTAGTTGGCGTGAATCTAAAAACTGTTCTTTTGTTATGTAAACAGGAGTTTGTGCAAACGGAGAAAACACTACAGCAAATGACATATATGGATTCATTCCCCTTCCCATACTACATTGTGCTGAGAGATATCGAAGCCTTACCTAGAACACTTGGTGATGTCCTGAGACAGGTAACATTTTCATTATCCACTTTCTTTCTTTTGTGTGGGGTTTATAGACAACACTTTCAAGTACTTGAGATATAACAAAACGTCCACTTTTTTTTATTTGTTTTCGCAGTGGTTTGAGCTGATGCAAAGCTCACGGGACTGAACACTTGTTGAAGGAGAAAGGTAGAGGGCTGAAATTTTGTTAGTCTGGTGTGGCTCTGTACTTTAGCTTTTAGACTTTTGTATACATCATATGGAAAAGACCAATGTTGTTTTACATCACATTTAGAACCATGAATACTGTTTCTATCTTTCATATATATGTAAAAGAGTCCTCTTCCCTTCTCTTTGGAATGCTCACAGCTTCATAAGTATACAAACGAATATCAACTGTCAATCACAATCTTGGCCATTGAAACAAACAAACAAAAACATAACAAAATGTTGAGAATATGGTTAAGAAAATTAAGTATGACTGACCGGTTTGTTGTGTTACTTTTATAGTTTTATCATCTGATTCAGAGACAGCTTCACAAACTTAGTATTCGAGCCACATGACATTAGACTTTCTTTTAGCCGTGTTCATCATATAGTAAGTCGTCATACTTTGAACTAAAAAATGAGGATCAAAGTCTGTTATGACACACATGGGTATCACATATTCTAAAATGACCCCTTTTTAATTTGTATTTATTTTTCATTTAAATTTAATTCAAAAAATAGATAAAATAACTAAAAAATCTAAAGACTTCAACATATTTACGGATCCATGCCACTGATATCCAGATCCGACCCATACCCAGCTGTTAACCTAAATTTTCTTCTTCTTCTTCTTCTTCCTTTTTTCTTCTCCATGGATTCACCTTAAAACAAAATCCAAAATTTACATCAAATGTTCACTAATTTTCTTTTTCTTATCCCAAATCGATCAACCCATAATCATATTTAATCAATTATATATAGTTTAAAGTCAAATTTCATCATTTTCGTACAAGATTCACGACAAAGAAAAACGCAGAGTATTACTGATACAACTAGTATAACTCAAACTAGTACAACTAGGATGACTCAGACTAGTACAACTAGTACGACTCAAACTAGTACAACTAGTACGACTCAAACTAGTACAACTAGTACAACCCGATCTAGTATGACTAGTTCAACTAAATCAAACATAACTAGTACAAATACATTGAGTATAACGCGTATAACTGGTACAACTAACATGCATATAACTTGTACAACTTTATAATTAATATGGTGATATTTGATTTTTATTTCAGCATATGAATGATGCTAGAAAATTGGATGGTATAGAACCAATGATAAATGTTGATCTAACCTTCTCTGCTTGCATGTGTCAAAATACATGAATAATTTATTTTCAATAATATTTGATTTTGATAATAATTTGCTTACAAATTGTACTATTTATACTAGTTGTACTATTGTAAGAATCATTATGAGTTCGGAAAATTATGCATATGCATTCATGTTTGGACTACGAAAATAATCCAAGTTGTACAAATGGTTTAGGTATGGTAGTCGTATTACTAGTTTAATTGTGTCATCACTTGAGCTGTGTTGTTTTAACATTGAGCATGTAGTAATCTTCTCGCCTCTATGTTCATTTTCTTATATAGACAAGAAAATATGATAAAATATAGATCAATAACACATATACAAGAAGAATATAGTGAAACTTTCATATTTCGATATGAAAATATAGCATACCAAGGCTTGTTGTATTTCCATCAAAAGAAGAAAAGCATATAAGACACAAAATTATTAGAAAACTGGATCATGTATGACCAGTATAGTTGGTACAAATAGTACAACAAAGAGAAAAATGGATCATGTATGACCGATATACTTGGCTATGAAATTTAAAAAACTTAGTTGTCCCACATGAAATTTAATTAGGATGGAACATTCTAAGTACCTTCAAGTTTGTCCAGACTATTTTTTTCTTATTCATAGAGAAAACTAAATGAAAATTTAAAATTTCTTAATTGAAGAAGTTGTACCAGTATTTCATGCGTGGTATAAGCCCTCACGAGTTCTAAAGTGATGTATAGGATTCATGTTTGGTGTTTGTACTATAACAATAATAGTCTAGCTTGTGCACTTGGTTTAACTATGATAGTAGTACCAATGTTTCAATATTAAAAATGACATACAAATATTAGTTTATTTTTGTATTTTATTTCAAATAGCTTTTTATTTTTATGTTTTGCAAATAGCAAAGTCATGTAAGATTATCATAACACTTCTCACCCCCAACATCTATTTTAATTATATGGATATAAAAATAAAATATGAAATAAAGCATGTATACAATAAGAACATAGTAAAATTTACATATTTTAATATGAAGAGGTGGCATACCAATAATTTTATATACGATTTTATATACGCATACAAATGCTTGGAAAATATTTTAATGTTATTAATAGAAATATACCTCCATCAAGAAAATGGAAGCCTAAAAGGCAAAAAAGCTAGATAAATATGATTGGTATAAATAGTAGAACTAGTATAACTACGAGAAAAATATGTATGACTGGTTTAACCGGTACAACTATGTTCTTTTAATAACACGTAGTTATACCAAATTTTGGGTTGTACAAGTTTGTACATAGTTGTATTTAGGCAATGAAATTGAAAAACTTAGTTGTACCACATAACAAAATAAATATACCCCAGTTGTACTACTTCTATATGTTTACCTATCTGATGTCACATATAATCGAATCATTGATTTTGTTAAAATGCATTCAATATAGGTTTTTAAAAAATATAGTAGACAAACAAGTAAACAAACCTTTAAAGAATAAGGTGGAACATGAAAACTTATGAGATAGTGTAATAATTATAAAAAAATATTAAAACCAATTTAACAGAAAAAAAAACTAAACGAAAGAAAGAACAATTATCATGTTTAAAGAGAGTTGCACATCTAAAATATGGTAAACAACCAAAATGTGATAAAATTAACATGTGGTTGTACCAGTATTTTAGTTGTACAATTATATACATAGTTGTACCGAGTTTTGAGTTGTACAAGTTTGTACATAGTTGTATTTTCGTCCAGAATTTGAAATATGTAGTTGTACCAAATAGTATATTAAAATAACTCAGTTGTACTACTTGTATATATTTACATACCTAGAATCACATACTATGAAATCATTAATTTTGTTAAAACATATTCAGTGTATGTTTTTTCAAAAATATAGTGACTAAACAAATAAACAAACCTTTAAAGTATAATATAGATCATGGAAATTTATGTGATAGTGTAATAATTACGAAAAAAATGGTAAAACTTCAAATAATTATGATGGATCATTCTAATGACCTTTCGACTTGTTTAGTTTGTGGTTAATTTCATATGGAAAACCAAATGGAATTTTAAAATTTCTTAATTGAAGAAGTTGTACTAGTTGTACCAGTATTTCTTATCTGGTATCTATAAAGTAGGTATACTAGTTGTACTAGTATTACAATATATAGTTATACGAGTAATACCAATATCACAACATAAAACATTATTGGTATGTTACATGAATAAGTTTCACAACACATAAGAAGGTTCCATAACATATAATTAAGACTCATTTGTCATTTTTTTTGTTGATCACTTTATTTGTTGACATTTCCCTTGTTACCACGTTCCCTTTTCTAAAATTTATCTTTGCCAAGGAGAAGGCACGTCTTTGATTCATTTAATTGACTTAAAACAATATGATAATTTCATGTAACTGGTTTCTTTGTAGTTGTTGTCTTGAAATAATACAATACCATTTGCAACCAACCCCACGACATTATAATACGTATATTTAAGTCATTAACTTCACTATATTTAATTTCATCGTACTTCATCTCGCACATCCGAATAACAACCCACATGATCAAAATATATCACCACACTTTGATTATTATCCATAGTTATCTGAAAAAGCATAATAAATCACCACTTAGTAGTTGTACAAGTTATACTAATTATATACGGAGCACTAATGACAATCATACTAGTTGTACCACTTATACTTGTTTTTATGTTACTACGATATAACATTTATAATAGTAATATTAGTTATACATTTTTTACTTGTTATGTGTTATAACAGTAGACCTATTTCATATGTTACTAATAGATATACTAGTTGACCTAGTTCTATGTTTCGTATGAACAATCAGTAACACTAGTTGTACCAGTATACATGTTGTATACAGTGTTAATGGTTGTACCAGTTTAACTAGTTGTACGTTTCGTATGAGAAAAAGAAAGAAAGAGAGACATAATATTATCCAAGTCCATTTAGTGAGAAACATACACGAGTTGTTGTCGATGGTTTTACTGCTCGTCGTCTAACCTTTGGAAAACAAATAAATCTGATGAAGAAGAGATTGGTTGGTAAAAAATTAAAGAGAAGAATTGAAAAGATTAAGGTTTTGTTGTTGACGTGAATGTAAGAGAAAGAAGAAGAAGAGAAGAATGAGTTTCACGTGAAAAGGAGAGAAGAAAGAAACAAATCATGTGGTTCTCATCTTTTTGATCTAATGGTTGAGATAAAAGATTCATTAATGGCCTTATGGTAATTTACCATCTATTAGGGTCATATAGATTAGTTTAGGTTGTAAGACAATAATTTTGAAGGTCATGTCCTATTAGAGATTAAAGTCCAAAAAATGAACCATAATGAAATCCATAGAATGCAGACACAAATAATCGATTAACATTACGTCTTTTATTTATGTTTTCAACAGTCCTTTTCGCTCTTGCCATTTTTATCAACTCTCTTTATTTCTTTTGACCCCCAAGAGAAACACAAATACTTTGTCACATGCATTCGTTATGGGCCCTTAAAATTTAAACTTTTTGGGTCATCGGCCCTTAATCATTAGTATGACTCTCCGTAATACTTTCCGTCATTCTTGAGTTGAAAAGTTGATCTTCTTTGATTTTAATTTAGTTACAAACTTCAAAGAACGCAAGCCCTTCAAGATTATGAACAAGGGGAATCTATTAGCTAATGATTGTTTTGTGAAGTTTACAGATTAAGGACTAATACTATGCCACAAAAAAAAAAAAAAGAGAATGAAAACTAAGCAGTTGATTTGACCAAACAAGATTAGTATAAGTTGATAGCAAAAAATATTATGAGGCTTCTTTCGAAACTTACTCATACTTAGGGATTTGATTAGTCTACAAGTTTACACTATTTTAGCTAGAAGCATGGGATGGAATTGTGTTGCACGTTGTTCAAAAGGAAATGTTTAGCCACGCGTGTTCACATCCACTCCTAGCTCTCGCTTTAATTTTTGAATTAAGGTACGTGATCATCTTTTCTAATTCTTGATTCTGCAATCTTTGACTA